AGGAGAAAAGTGTGTTTCATTTCCGCTGGTCAAAGCAATTTTACCATAATTCACCTTTCCTCTGTGATCTTGCGATGCTTCCTGTCATTTTAGACGAAACTGCTGAATTGCGTTCTAACTGAGAACCGTATGTTCGTTTGTTTTAGAACGCAATTAGGCACATTGTTCGTATCGGAATTTCATTCGAATGAATGAAACTCCGATTCAATTCGTGCTGTGGCTGCATCTTGCAGCCACTTAGTAGATAACTCCCTAATTCCCACGGTATTAGGGAGTCATCTACCAAAAGGCTGAAAGACCTAAATTGGTCTTCCAGCCACATTTACTAATACTAAGTAAATATTATTATTATATCGTTATACCGCGAGTAGGGGCATGTCTAGTAAGCAGCCTGTTGCTGCTCAATGTAAAAAAAACAAAACTATTGCCCCCACCTCTGTGCGATGGGTGGGGGCCATAAAGATAATGAGGGGGGGACCTACTGTCCTCCGTCCTGCCCCCACCCCTGCGCATTGGGTGGGGGCCATAAATTACAATGGGGGGAACCTACTGTCCTCCCCCCCCTCTGGCCCCCACCCTTGAGCAGTGGGTGGAGGACATAAAGATAATAAAGGGGGGAGGACCAGCTTTCCTCCCCCCGGCCCACACCCCTGCGCGGTGGGTGGGGGCCATTAATTACAATGAGGGCGTGTGGCGGAACCAACCTCGCCACTGTGCACAGGAGAAGCCTGGTTGCTAGCCTGCTCCCTTTGGACTAAGGCCCTGCAGTTTAATTCCTGTTATTTTCCCTACAGAAAGATTTATTCGTGCCTTTCTGCCGGGGTGTTCGGTAGATTCAATCTACCGAACAAAGTAACGAACGATGGTCCACCAATTGACCGCTCAGAAGCTGCGGTTAACCGCAGCTTAATTGATGAACGCTGGGTGGCCTTTGTTCATTTGCCGAACACGTGGCAGCGGCCATTTTAGCTCCCGAACGGCCAGCGGTGTTCAGCGCCTAAACTATGGAACTGAAAACGGACACTTAATTGCGCGAACACCGCTGAGCCGCCAGCCTCCTTACCTCTGCATTCGGTAGTGGAACCGAATCACTGTTCATTCGGTAGTTTAACCATATGAACAGCATCACCCCAGATAGCCATGCCATGGAGCCTATTCGTGTAACGAAAGACTTTGGCTCCATGTTGATTGAACTGTATGTATGTGATCTGAGCGCCATTCGGTAGTAATGTGCGCTCAGATCTAAGCTATCTGGGGATAGGTAGAATGTGTTTGTTTTATGTAATAAATGTAACCGTATGTAATTTTATCTTTTTTTACTAACGTGTGTAATGGAGTTTTGCCTCTGTCCTTGGAGATAATTGGATTACTTCCCAATTATCTCCAGGGCAGAGGGGAGGGATTGTGATGCATTGTGGAAATGTGTACATCTGTGACTGGTCAATGTCCAATATGTTTCCCAGTCTTCCATCTGGTCCCCTAGTGGAGTGTCCACCAGGTGGGAGACCTGCATAAAAGCCGGGCAGTTAGCCCCAGTAAACTAGATTCTGCTTAACCCTCAAAACGAAGTATGCTGACTGCCAGGAGTGTAAACCTTTCGTATGGTTTTTCCTGTTCGGCTGTTTCCAGTATTCGTGTGTTTCCTGTACGGGAGTTGGAGAGTTTGTGTAGTTTGCAGTTCGGGATATTGGTGATTGCAGTAGCTGTCTGTGCATCTGAAAGGGGAATATCGCCTAAACGGTTTTTAACCTCTTGTGTGCAAAACGGTCCTTACAGGGGGGACCTACAGTCCTGCCCCCGCCCCTTGAGCAGTGGGTGGGGGCCATAAAGATAATGAGGAGGGACCTACTGTCCTCCCCTTCCCCCTCCAGCCCCCACCCCTGGGTGACGGGTGGGGTGCGGGTCCCCCCTGTGCCCCCCCCATCAAAGGTGACTGGGGTCCAAGCCCCTAGTCAACCACCCCCCCACCCAAAAGAAAAATAGCCTCTATCTTTACATTTTACAAGGAGGGACCTGCACGCTGGTAGCTCCCTCCTTGTAATAAACTGCACGAACACTGATATTCAGTGTTAGTTTGTCTGATTTTTCTATTCATTCTTTCAGCGTTTTTTGACGAATGAATGAATGAATAGATGAAATTCCTGTTCGCATGCCCAGGTGTTTCACTGGGCATGTGCGGGAATCTCACAGCGCTATCTAGTGTGGGCAGATGACGTGTCCCACAGGGACTTCCTCTACCCACACAAAGATGGCTGCGCCCTGAATATAGATCGAGGCAGAAAATAAAGATTTTTAAAAATAGGTAATATGGGGGGCTTAGGGGCATTTGGGGATGACTAGGGGGTCGGTTAGATGTAGTGGAGTCGGGAGGGGGGGTTAAAAAAAACAGGATTCGGCCATGACAGTGCCGCTTTAAAGGAACACTGTACTTATTATAACTACTTCATCTTAATGTAACGTGCTCCCATCCCTCCCTCCCACACACACACCCCTCTCTTTAGTGGCCTCAAATGCCTTTAATTTACTAAATAGAAGACTTGTAAGCATCCCTCAAAGCCTTCTGGGTATGAGAGTCGAGACTTTTGGTGTCCTGGCTTTCATACTCTACCATACTGTGACATCACCGTCTGCCATAAATCATCATTGCTATATTCTCTATAGCAAAATCATTGGTGCATTGTGGTGAGTGCTTCGTATGTGCCAACATTTCATGAGGACACCTTCAGGATGACGTCCGGTGAGGAGGAGGCCGCGACAGTGCCAACAGTGACTCTCTGCTTTAGAGAAAGTGAGTATTTTTTGTTTTGTTTTTTTAAAGTCACTGGGGGGAGGCCTGAAACCAAGTTGGGGCATTACGATTGTAGTGTTAGGAATACAGATATATATTTCTAATGCTACAGTGTCCCTTTAAAAGAAAGCCATTTCTGTCTTAAAAAAAAAAAAAAGAATATATAATCTGTATGGGGACACTTAAAGAGAAATGCTTGAATTACAGTGGAACAAACACACAGCACAAATTCTAGTTTTTGTTTTGGTTCAGAATTTGGACAATTACCTAAGTGGTTAAAAAAACAATGCAGAGTTTACATATCGAGCAGCGGACAGGATTGGCTCAAATAAAGGCTTCACTACACCTCAATGAGCGTGACTCTGAAAACAGACCCCTACCTCCATTTAAACCCCACATAATTGAGCTCAAAGCCTGTTTAACAACAAAAGAACAGACGGGAAAACCATATCCCGTCGACGTGAACAACAACTTTGCTAAAATTTAAGTAGAACAACAAAATGAATAAGTGACCGCTCAATGTTTGTTTTGGACTGAGCTGTTCTACATTTAACACAAGCTGTCAGGTTAAACTAGGAGAACTGTGAATAACAGTGAACACAGGTAGCTGCAATTATATTATTATTATTCTGCAAAGCTTCAAAAATCTTTATGAAATACAGAAGTATGATCTTGAGTCAGAAAGGATTTTTTATTTGTTGTGTGTAGCATACGTATTGTGTTTGTCCCTGTAAAATGGACAAAGTGGGATACTTTAATCTTAGGGGTGTGACGGTGGGTGGCCAGGGACATGGCTGTTCTGATATATTTTAGATGACTTACTAATAACAGCAATAACAGTGTAGCTTATTTACACAGACTGATTTCTAAACACATTTATTGTAGTTTAAAGACACATTACTGTGAGTATTATTACTGTGGAGCTCTGTTATACACTCACACATTACTGGGAGTATTATTGCTGTGGAGCTCTGTTATACATTTAGACACATTACTTGGGAGTATTATTGCTGTGGAGCTCTGTTATACACTCACACATTACTGGGAGTATTATTGCTGTGGAGCTCTGGTATACACTCAGAGGGACAGAGGAATTTGGGACAAAACTAAGGACTGTCCCCTCTAAATAGGGACACTTGGGAGATATGCTGTAAGGGCCTTCTGAGCAGTCTCGATGGATCCCATACCATAATAGTAACCCAGGGACCTACCACTGCCAGTATAGCTCCCACTTTAGTTGTCAAAGTGGCTGTTGCCCCTGTGACCACGTCCTTTTCTACCACAGTATAAATCCTCTGCACCAGATGGCCAACCTTACGTACATACAAAAAAACACCTGTACATAAACACACACATCCCATACAGACTTACAACAGCCCTATACAAACGAACACATTACAGCCACTATTTGTATACACACTAAAGCCTCTATATACAGACACACAACAACGTACACGACAGCCCATATACATACTCTATAGACTATAGACACATACACCCAACAGCCCCTAGATACACACTACACCCTGTAGACACACACTATATAGGGGCTAACTGAGCTGAATCTCCAGGCTCACCTTCCAGTTCTTCAGACAGACCTGCTCCCTTTTGCGTCACTGACCCACCTCATTTTACCCCATCCACCAGCATCCTGGTTCACAGGAAACCGATATTGGTGATATGAATTTGGTGGAGAGATGGAAGCAAGAGATTAGCATAGGGTATGCTTATTCTTAGAGCTCCATTCTTGAATTTTCCTCCACCAGATACAGGACACTTCGGAGGTATAACTGTTTGTGTTTACTGTCAATAAGATTATGTAATTAGGCTCATTATAATAATCCGGCTTTGGGGGGGCGAAGCCTGAACACGGAGCTGAGCAGCCGCATGCTGAGCGAGCTCCTGCACAAAACGACAATTTTCGGGGTAATACCCCCATTTCCAGCCTGAATCCGGGTTTCTATACCCATAAGCCTACTTGGGGACAAGTTGCTGATCACACTGACCCCACTCACGAGCCTTTGAGACGCAGTGAGCCCGCGGAGACAAGGCGGCCGATTTCCCCACTCTCCTGATTGCTGAAAGGAACTGCTTCAGTCCATACCTCCCCTCCCCCCATTGGACCGGCGGGGGTTATCCCGGTCCCCCCCTGGACTGCTCCAGACAAAACCTGTGGTCAGAAAGGGACACTTACATGGCGGGAACCCTCAAAATGGCGGACACTCATCCTCCAGCAAAGCCAACTCCACTACCGACCAGTAATAGCCTCAGTTTTTCTGTAGAGCACTCCCTGGCAAGATTGGAGGCAATATTCACCAACTTCTGGGCTAAATTGGAGACACGAGCAGCAGCTTCAGTTTCTCAACAGGGGACTGCAGATCAACTAGCCGAGCCATGTGGAGTGAGTGCGCCCCCTCCGGACACCGAGGGTAAGCAAGCACCTGCTCCTCTACCCTTATACTCACTAGAGCCCAACAACAACCAGGGCCCCACACCGCCACACCAGCGCCCGCCCACTGCTATTCGGAGGGAGACCCATCGCTGTAACCCATATGAGAAAGATACAGGTGCGCCGAGCCATTGGGCGCGCAAAATGAAGGCACTGGACGCCACACGGGCCCAGCTCCGGGTGGACACCCTCTCACAAAGCCGCCCCAGCGCTCCCACCAGTATAATCTCTGCCTGCCTCGTAGGCCACCCAGCGAGGGGAATTGGATGAAACATGGAATGATAGAACAGAGCAGGCTGTCCACGACGAGAGAGCCACGAGGCCTGAGACACTGTGATATCTTGTGTTGAAAACGCTAACCGGGTGTACACTAGTTCTGCCATGTCTATTTCTCTTTTACTTTTAATTTGCTTCTATTACATCCCTCGTCACAAGCCATACAGGTCTCAAAGACTGTGATTGCAGCTCCAATGGGAATTTAACCCTATTCGTGTACTGTATAAGCATGATTAATACTCTTACGTAAAGCTATTTGACTAAGCTATGTTACACATACTTTATAATGCATGTTCCGCATAAGCTTTAACATAACTACTTAATCTAAAAAGCGCACAATAGAAATAACAACTTGCAGCAGCATTTAATGTCTAGCTAATATAACACTATGTTAGAATGAATGCTCATCCAGGCTGTATTAGCACTGTACGCCAGATTAGCAACGTCTCAATCCCTAGACTTAATCATATGTAACTTAATGTTGAATGGTTCGACTTAACCTTATACCACACATTTACTGATAAGCGGAACTGGTGAAACCACCAGACACACGACAATAATATATATAAAACTGTGCAGTATCTTCTAATGCCTAACTACTATAACACTATGTCTGCATAACTGCTTACTCCGGCTGTTGTGGCATTGTAAGCCTGATGTGTTATCACCTTGCACAAATAAAATAAAGAATTATAAAAAATAATAATCCGGCTTTGCTTTTTGGACACCAGAAACAAATCACCAGCAAACATGTCATTACATTTGTGGTGTGTAAAACACAGGTCATTTACACTGGAGGGATATGAAACGTGCTCACACTCAGGGGGCATGCGCATCATTAATATTGCCCCCTCCTATTAGCATTCTCTGCCTGTAAGTGGCAGGGATGATTTTATTTCCCCAGTCCAGTCTTGGTCGTGATCTGGTAGCATTGATTCCTTTATTTACGTTTTGTTAAGTAATATCAGATTTACCTAATGCCATATGTTCGTTTGGAAATCTGAAAAAATGTCCTTTATCTTTCTAATGTATCGAACATAAACACGAGGCTTCTCGGGATGGTGTAGCGTGCATGACATCACTAGGCAGCTGGTGCTGTGATCAAGAACGGAATGCCGGCTGTCTATACAAGTTGCAGAGTAAATAATGTTAGCTGGGAGAAGACTGACAGTCTCTGCAGACACCCTGCAATTCACAACTGGTTAAGTTGCAGAGTTTAGTCTTTCACAGTCCCCATCTTTTGTTAATCCAGAAGAAAGGACACACAAAAAACCTTTATGATCTATATTCAATTCGAGAAGAAGAGAAACCGCTTGCGTCACAACACTAATTTGATTATACAATGTCCCTGGTTAATTTTATCCCGTCCTCCTGCCACCAATTCTTTAATGGTCTTCTCCTCTTGTCTCCTTTTCCACTTTCTCCTATTAACCCATAACGTCCAGTTTGTTTGGCAGTGGCATGTCTAATTTTTTTGTTTTTCTACCAAAATTGTACAGCTAGAGGAATTTATAGATTTATTTATAACCATATCGTAGGATCATGGTAAGCCCCATAACCAATGAAGCATATAGTTTTGGTTCTGCTATTCATGTAGCCCCTTGTAGCCAAAGCACAGCTTAGCGGAGGAGGGCCTTGACAGGGATTAGGAGACGGGCTTAGGAGAAACCGGCCAGGATTGGTGGGTTGTGGGAGAAAGGGGTTGGTCTACTTAAAGAGGTAGCCATTTTGGATAGAGCACATTTAATCTCCTACCTGGTCGAGTTTGTCCCACCCACCCTTCCTGGGTTTTGAGTTAAATGAGGGTATCCCGTTTTGTCACAGCGGCGGGATAGGGAGCCGAGGAAGAGGAAATAGGCTCCCATGAGGAACGTCATGAACACGGAAAATTGTGGTCACTGGTGGTTGGTAGGTTTCGAGTCCTGGAGGCAGGGCCGATGCAAGAATTTTTGCCGCCCTAGGCAAAAAAAGATTGCCGCCTCCCCCCCATATGTCCTGCCCACCATGTGACATCACAATGCCCCGCCCATATGCTCTGCCATATGGGCCAACGCCAGTCTTCACAGAGTGTCTTTTTTATCTGAAAAGACAGTGTGTTTACATTAAAAAGCCTACAGGCACAGGCTATAGACACCAGAACCACTACATTATGCTGTAGTGCTTCTGGTGACTATAGTATCCATTTAATGAGAGGTAAATTAGAGATTAGTGCCACTAATAATATATTGGATTGCCTACTTACCACCAGATGAGGACAAGAGGCTGATGATGGGCTCTGTCTGGCTCCACAGGTCTGGTGTAGAAGAGGCTCTCTAGAGACTGTTTGTAACAGTGCTCACAACAATTAACGAACAGGAGCAGCTCCATTTTTTAGGGCCCCTTACACAGCTCAGGGTCTGGGCCCCCAGGGCTTGATCATGAGTATGCCTACAATGCCCACCCATAAATCCACCTACATGGCCCACCCATGAGTTCTCTCACAGGAAGTGGAGTGTATGTGTGTAGGGGATGTTTTATGTGTTATTGTAGAGGATGCAACGTGTGTGTGTTTTTATAGAATGTAGTGTATAGGGATACCAATTTCTGTAAGGGATGTAGTGTGTTTATAGGGGATGCAGTGTGTGTTTGCATGTAAGGAATGAATTGTATGTTTCTGTGTGTGTGTGTGTAAGTGGTGCAAGGTGTGTTTCTGTGTATTTAATTGAATGTAGTGTGTGTCTGTAAGGGGTGCATTGATTTGTAAGAGATGCATTTTGTTTCTGTGTGTAAGAGAATGAGTGTGTGAACGTAAGGGATGCATTGTGTGTTTCTCTCTGTGTGTGTGGGGGGGGGATGCATTGTGTATGTGTGTAGTGTAAAAGAGAGGGTTTGTGGGGTAGGATAGGGACTGAGAGGGGAGCAGCTCTTTATTTTTTTGCATAGTGCTCACCCTCCTGTCGTTTATTGATTTCCCCTTCCCTCCTGTCCCTTAGTGCTCTCCCTTGGCCCCGTGTAGTCCCACATTGGTGGTCTTCTCACTCCCCCTTAGTGGTCCTCCCTCTCCCAAACCCCTTAGTAGACATTCCCCTCCTCCCCCCACCCCCTTAGTGGTAATCTCCTCCCCTCAGTGGTCATATCCTCCTCCCCCCCCCTTAGTGGTCCTTACCCTCCTCCCCTCTCCTTAGTGGTCCTCCCTACTTACCCCCCTTTGGTGGTCCTTTCCCCCCTTAGTGGTCCTCCCTCTCCCAAACCCCTTAGTGGACCTCCCCCCCTCCCTCAGTGGTCCTTACTCCCCCCCCTCCCCCCCTGTCTTCCTTCACCCCCCTCCCCAGTGGTTCTTACTCCCCTCCCCCTCGGTCCTTACCTCCCCCAGTGGTCCTTACCTCCCCCCCTCTCCCTGTGGTCCTTACCTACCTCCCGCCCCTGTGGTCCTTACCATCCCTCCCTTGTGGTCCTTACCTACCCCCCCCTCCCCCTGTTTTCCTTGCCTTACCATCCCTCCCCCTGGTGGTCCTTGCTCTCCTCTTCCCTCCCGCGTATGTAGCGTGGCCGGGCGGCACGGAACGCGGGACAGGAACTTCAGTCCGGCGGACTGAAGGGAAGTGCTCACTCAGTGAGGAGGAAACAGAGGTTCCTGTCCCGCGTTCCACGCCGCCCGGCCACGCTACATTGAGACCCCAGCGGGAGGGATCGCTATGCGCTTCCATCCTGCCGGTCACTCAAA